AAATTGGGGCGAAGTGCACCAATAGCCACTTTTAAGTTTGCTATTTAAAATATATTCACAATTTATAATATTTAAAAATTAGCCAATTCGTCCAAACTTTAGGACTAAGTATCCTAAATTTTTGAGCTGCTAATTTGAAATTCGGGACTAAGTGTCTTGAATTTATGAACTGCTAATTTGAAATTCAAGACTAAGTGTCCCGAATTTCTGAACTGTTAATTTAAAATTCAAGACATAAGATTTATGGACACAATTTTTGAACTTTAGGACACGACGTCCTGAAGTTTGAAACTTGAGGTTTAAGTTCAGGACGTCATGTCCTAAAGTTTAAGTTTATTGGCTAATTTTTAAATATATTGTAAACTGTGGATATGTTTTAAACAACATACTTAAAAGTGGCTACCTAATGTCATTTTCACAATAAATTGGGACAAAGGGAGTAATATTTTTTGTTTTTGAATTTGAACTACGATTTACCACTTTAATAATCACTTGCTCACATTCTTAAGTGCTTCAATTTAAGTAATATCATGCAAACTGTGTGAATTTGACTTTAACTTCTTTTCCTCCTTCGGGTAAAAAGATACACTATACATGTTTAGAAAAAGAAAATAAATACTACTATTAGGACTATAATTAAAATTTGAGAGTTATTTGGACTTTTTTCTTCTTAAAGAATTTGCACATAATATCTATCCATTTCCTATTAGAACTTCATTAATAATAAAAACAAATACGAGATAATTTACTAATGGGGTGCAAATATGATTGAATCATTTCCTAAAACAAAAGAATAATACTCCCTCCGTTCACTTTTGATTGTCACGTATTCTAAAAATAAAATTTTCATTTTTACTTGTCACTTTTCGTATATCAAGAGAAAAATAATTTATTTTTTCTGTTTTGCCCTTACCATTAATTACTCATTCCAAATCATTTTTCGAATTTATTAAGATTATACACCAATTAATATGGGTATCATGGTAAATTATGTACTTTATTTATTATTTCTTAAAGGGCGTGCAAAATCCAAAGTGAACAAGTACAAGTGAACGGGGGGAGTAATTAAAATTTAGCTATCTCTATGCGGTGTACAAGTTAGCAGTCAATTCCATAATAGGCAGAGGCGGAACTAAGATTTCAAACTTATTGGTCTGGGATTTTAATCGCCTTAAGTTATTGGGTTCTAAATTAATAATTTATACATATTCAATAAATGTTTTAAGACAAATACAGAATTCGAACTAAAGCTATTAAGTTCGGCCGAACCCTCCTTCCCCACCTTGCTCTTGGGGTGACTCGAACTTATAACCTTTTGGTTGGAAGTGGAGGGTGCTCACCACTGTAGCAACCTACTCTTGTCAATTTATTTGTAGTAAATAGCCAAATATATTTATATTTCCTCTGAAAAAACAAAAACACAATATCCATCTTGCTCCCCTTTTTCCCCTTCTCCATTTTCCATCAACAAATAAAAATCGACACAAAAGCATCAAGAAAACTACATAGTAAACAAGAGGGGGAAATTCTCAAGATATATAAAGGGATTGAAGAAAAATCCAATCTTTCTTTTGAAAAAAGGAGATGGCTTTAATACGCCTTCTCACCCAGGTCACTTCTTTAATTCAAACCTTTTGTTTTTATTTCATTTTTTCAATTTCCTCGGAAGGATTTTTTTAATCTCATTTTTTGTTTGGTTTATTGATTGATTGATGGTTTGATAATTCAGTCTATTAGGTCAGAGAAACCCTAATTTTTGTAGTTTTATGTGTCTTTATTTCAAAGATTGTATATTTTTAAGTTTTCTTATGAAATTAGTGGAATTTTTAGAGTAATTAGCTTGTTCCTAACTTGGGGTTTATCTTTTATTTTTTATTTTTTTGGTTCCTTAGGATTATGTCAGAGATTGGATCTTTTTGTTCCTTAGGAATTTTAGAGTATTTAGCTTGTTCCTAACTTGGGTCTTCTCTTTTATGTTTCTTAGGATTATTTTAGTGCTATGCTACTGTCAGAGAAACATTAATTCTGGTAGTTTTATGGGTTTTTACTTCAAAGTTTGGTTTTCCTTTTTTGTTAAATTATTGGAAATTTCAGAGTATTTAGCTTGTTCCTGACTTGGGCTTTCTCTTTTTAGTTTCTTAGGATTATTTTAGTGCTATGCCACTGTCTTCCAAGTAAAATGTTTTTCTGGTTAGGATTAATGTTTAGTTGTTGCTGTTATGTTTTAAATTTACTTTGGTGTTTGTCCCGAAATTATGTATTCTGGTTAGATTATACGTTCGTGCATGGATAAGTATTTGTGATGATTCATATAGCTGATCTGAACTAGTTTAGAATTGAGGTGTGATTGATTGATTGATTGTATTGGCGGAGTCAGTAATTTTAACAAGGGGATTCAATAATTTCAAACTTGCAGCCTAAAGTAAATCAAGGGGATTCGAAAGCTTATATATACATGACAAAATTGTTTTTCCCTATTCGGACATTACTATTTTCCAATGTAAGGGATTTTACTTCATTGGTTGTGGCTCCACCAATGATTGATTGATGGTTTGAGATTTCACTCTATTAGGTCATAGAAACCCAAATCTTGGTAGTTTTATGGGTTTCTTCTTCCAAATTGAATCTTTTTTATTTCTTTTCGATTAAATTATTGGAAATTCAGAGTATTTAGCTCGTTTGTAAATTGGGTTTCTTTTTTTCGTTACTTAGGGATTCTTGGCTATCTTCCAAGTACAATGTTTTTCTAGGGCGGTAGCTTCTTTATCTCTTTTTTCTTGTTATAATATTGGTTATGAAACTGAAGATCATTTCTTTTCTTTTCCGAAATTATTTCTTAATTTTTAGTCTAGTTCACAGTATTCAATTAGTTTACAGGCAATACCAACTAGCTAAGATAAAGGTTTAGTTGTTCGTGCTACGTCTTAAGTTTTGTTTGGTGCTTGCTGTAAATCCTTTTATTGTGGTTAGAGTTTAAGATTTGGAGAACCTCTAACCTTTGATAATCACTAATTTGACTTAAAAAAAAATTCATTTTTTAGTATTGAACTGAGATGGAGTTTATAGAGCAAAATGGATAAAAATGATTCATTTAACCAACTCCGACTAATTTGGGATTGAGGTGTAGTTGATTGATTGTATCTCATCTAGCTCACTACGTGTTTCTACCAATATCTTTTGTTTTAAGGTGAAATATTCTTATTCTTCAAAAAAAAAAGATTTTCTCAGCTGCCTTTTTTTAGATTGGTCGTATTTAGTTTGGCAGTTTTCCTTATCTTACACTGCACGTTTTATGATGGTTTTATTTCCCTATTTTCTTTCCTCTTATGTCTGTAACAGTACCTTCTTGTGTTTTATAGGTTGAGAGGCATCAATCTCAACTGAGGCAGCTAAGCTCTTTATCCAATAGAACGTATCTTACTTCTAAAAGGATCATAGGAAGTGAAGGTATGCTCTGAGTTTTTGGCACTCATGTAGTAGAGTTTCTTTGTTTCTGTGATCTACATAGATATCTAATCATATGGTTGATGACATGGAATTTTTTTTCATGGAATTTATCCTAATTTTCCGCTTGATATTCACGGTCCTCTAAAAAGTTCAGCTGTTGTGTTCTTTATATTGAACAATGGCCGTACCTATAATTTTGTGAAATATTCTAGTCACTTTAGTGGTAGCTTGACATGGATGACGATCTAGAAAATAAGGTTCGGTAAGTTAAAGAATGAGTTGAGTGTGACATCAATAATGTACCAAAGCAAGTGGAAGAAAAATTCTCTAGACGTCAAAATAAGATTATTATGTCAACCTTTCGGAACTGCTTTTATTATAAATTTAAGTCTTGCTAGATTAGATTTGCACATTAGTAGAAAATAATTGAACATTTATTATTTTGTTGGAAATGTCTCTATATTTTGCCTACCTTTGCATGTCGCTAACAAAAAAACTGTTTTTGTATTTTAATGCCAGACAAGTTATCTAAGTAGAGTAAATTTTGATTATAGGTAGTTTAATACTGTTGATTTTCTCCCTGTAGTTTATTGTTTTTGCAAATAATTTGGTTTAAACAGTTTTCTTGTGCCTTGCAAGATAATGTTGGAGACCATTTTACCATCTTGTGTAAACGAACATGCAACCTCTCAACTCGAATGCAATTTTTTTCAGTAGTATGCTTCACAGAAAGAGCTAGCAAACCTATTCAGTTCAGTGCAATCCTTTTCCGTCGTAAACTTCCAAGTCTTGTGAACGTTAGACGCTAATAAATTAACATATTATCAGCTTATAAGTTAGTGACTACAAATTCATAAGCAATTTCTCCAGTAGCAAACTTCATGGAAATGAGCTAGCAAACCTCCTGAGTTAAGTACATCGTTTTTGGTCATATGCTTCCATGTCTACCTTAAACGCTAATGAGTTAACATCAACTGATAGGTTAGTGAATGCATCCGCTCCCAAGGGTGTGACCTAGTGGTCAATGAAGTTGGGAGAACTATGAGGTCTCAGGTTCAAATCCTAGATGAGGCAAAAAGCACTAGGTAGAATCTCTTCCCATTTGCCTAAGCCCTTAGTGGGCAGAGTTCCCCGATACATGTGCTGGTAGGAGGTAGCAGGTACTCCGGTGCAATAGATGAGATGCGCGCAAGCTAGACCAGACACCACCGTCTTAAAAGAAATTAGTGAATGCATCCTTACCCAAAAAAAGTTAGTAATGCATTTTAGAAACATTTTTCTAAGTAGCATCTTTTGATTGAGCCAGCAACCTTATGTTCTTTTTCCAACTTGTCCCTTTTTTGTGTGCAGCGTATGGAGTTGCAAATATCAAGCAAAGGTTTCAGTCTAGTTATGTGGGCAGTCTAGGACGCAGAGCACGTGAAACAAATGAAAGTAGTAATGCTGCATATCATAGAAATGACCAAGAGGCAGTCATAAGGTTGTTTGAAAGCCAACCTTCATTGCTTTCTAATCCAGAAGCAGTGTCGGCGTATGTTAAGGCACTGGTAAAGGCTGACAAACTCGATGAAAGTGAGCTGCTCCGGACTTTGCAGAGAGGTAGTAATAATTAGAATGTCTCTTGTTACCTTGTATTGTTTGGTTTGGCTCGCCTTTGAGAATAGATTACGCTAAATATTGAACAGTTAGTACTTGCTGATGAGGGTTTCTGTCTTTTTAATTAGTTTAGCATGGATACCAATAGTGCTTACGACAGCTGTTTTCAGGGATTTCTGGTTCTGCTAGTTCTCATGTGGAGGAAGAAAATTTAGGGGCTCTGTCTGCTTTTAGGAATGTTGGGAAAGCAACAAAGGATGGTGTTCTTGGTACTCGTAATACTCCTATACATATGGTGGCTGTTGAAGGAGGTAACTTCAAAGAACAGTTATGGCGTACATTCCGGTCTCTGGCTGTGGCCTTTCTCTTGATTTCAGGAATTGGTGCTCTCATTGAAGATAGAGGAATCAGCAAAGGTATAGGAGTTCTGCAATTTTTGTTGGGCTTTTTCATTTTTGTCCCGTCGGTCGAAAATAATTACAGGCTCTAGCCCATATATACAAAACATATACACTGATTATGTATATTATATGTATATTTGTACTTAATATGCAAAAATATACATTTTCCGGCTATTATTTCTTAGGGCGGGCCAAAAATGTAATTATCCCATTTTTGTTTGGCGTTTGAAACTTTATTCAGATGCATTCTGCTACTGTCTTTTTCTTAATCCATTTTCTGAATCAGGACTTGGTTTAAATGAGGAAGTGCAACCGAGTATGGAAACCCATACAAAATTTTCTGATGTGAAGGGTGTTGATGAGGCAAAATCTGAGCTGGAAGAAATTGTTCACTATCTCCGAGATCCTAAGGTGGGTTAATCTGGGTGGTTTTTTCAGTAATCACAAGCAGTTCAATCACTTCATCTGCAAAATAAAGTCCTAAGTTTGATATTTGTATCATTAATCCAGGTAAGTAAACAAAAAAAACACTGTGATGAATTTTGTTCTTTGCTGTTCCGTTCAATAATATTCTAGAAATGCAGGACTGGAGTTCATCATTTACGACAGTGTTCTTGCTATCCCTCTTTCAACACCCATCTGAAAATATCCCAAGGATAAAAATGTGTGAGAACACATTTCATCATTTGTTAATTATATCTACAGTACGTTCTGATGGGGCGAAGATATTATGGATAGAAGGAGAAGTTAGAGGATTATAAGGTTATTCCCCTTGTGCTCATAAGTAGGTCATGATCATTCAATTAATTCAGCTGTTGAACTCCGATTAGGTTTAGTGTCAAAATTCTTTTTAGTTTATGCTATAATGGTGCCTAAACACAGATCAAAGTAAAGCCTAAATTGTTTTGGCCATGGTCACTTATTTACATATCCATTTGGTGAATAGTATATCATAAATGTGATTGAAAAGTACACGGAAAACATGTTTCCGAATAGCCAACCATTACTTACCTACAAGTTTACTTAGGACACTCTAGAATTTCTATTCCAACGTGATGCTTATTAAAAAAACAAAGAATTAAGAATACAAAAAAACATGGTGTTTACTTGTGAGTTTAATCTAATATGGACTGCCACGAGCTGAGGTACATGAGAGCTTAAATGGATGTCATTAGCTGTTAAAAAAGTTGTTTAATTCTGTATTTTCTTTAGCTTTTCATGAAAATTCTGCTTAAAACAAAAAAAAAGAAGGAAATTTAGGTTGTGACCTCCCGAAGATCAAAGTAGCTACACCATTATTGTAATATTCAAGTGGAATCAGCTGCTTTCAGTCTTGATCGAGCAATAGATACCCTTTAGGTAGTAAAAGATGAGAAAGGGTACAAACGAGAAGGCTATTGGTGGCTATTCGTGCTTTTGCTTACCTTCTATTATACTAAATCTTTTAAACTGTTGCCTATAGTTTCCACTTCTGGTCAAAGATACTTATCTTGGACAGTAGAATTTGTAATGTATGACTTTCTTATTTTTGATGATTAGTAAATGTGGTGATGTATGGCTCAAATGTATCAACGTCTTATTAGCTGCAATATGTCCCGTCGCATTTCCCCAATGTTTTTATTGTTTATTCTGTTCTATGCTGCAGACTCTCCAAAAATGCCTCCGGGTTTGTGTCGGATCCTCCAAAAATGCACTATTGTTGGAAAATCCGACACGAACCCAGAGACATTTTCGGAGAGTCCGAGCAACATAAATTATGGCTGAGACTTGAGAGGTGATCTTTGTTTTTAGGGTTTGAGGTAAATATTTTGCACTTGCTCATTTCAGCGAACTTTTGGGTACAGCGTTTCACTCGTCTTGGTGGCAAGCTCCCAAAAGGTGTATTACTTGTTGGTCCCCCTGGAACTGGTAAGACCATGTTGGCGAGGGCCATAGCTGGAGAAGCTGGGGTTCCCTTTTTCTCATGCAGTGGCAGTGAGTTTGAAGAAATGTTTGTCGGTGTCGGAGCTCGGAGAGTGAGAGACCTTTTCGCCGCTGCTAAGAAGCGATCACCATGCATTATATTCATTGATGAGATTGATGCTATTGGAGGAAGCCGTAACCCAAAGGACCAACAATATATGAGGATGACTTTAAATCAGTTGCTTGTCGAGCTGGATGGCTTCAGACAAAATGATGGTATCATTGTGATTGCTGCCACTAATTTCCCCGAGTCACTGGATAAGGCATTGGTGAGACCTGGACGATTTGATCGCAACATTGTTGTCCCAAATCCTGATGTCGAAGGGCGGAAACAGATTTTGGAATCTCACATGTCAAAGGTAATCTTTCCCCCTGTTTTCTTTTCCTATTTAGTGTTTAGATGATAAACCTGTTTTGCGTCACATCCTCTTTCCTGGTGTATTGGCGGTATATTTTCATTTACCCTGCACGATGGATTATTCGAAGTTTACAAAGATGCAATAAATGTTATCATCTCCTAAATTCAGTGACGGGATATCTTCTCCTGTTACGGTTGCCTTGGCATATTTTACTTTGTCATTGATTCATCATTTCTTATCTACTCGCTATTTATTTATTGTAAATTGCTACTTTCTCTTTCTATTTTCATGTCCTAGAATAAAAATGAGCTACTATGCTGCACTATGTCAAGCTTCCTTTTTTCCATGTTTGGTCTATCATTGCTAATTTCTCATATAAAGAATATCCTGTTTGGCAGATTCTGAAGGCGGACGATGTTGACCTTATGATCGTTGCTCGGGGGACTCCTGGATTTTCTGGTGCTGACCTTGCTAACTTGGTGAATATTGCTGCTGTAAAGGCTGCAATGGATGGTGCCAAAGCCGTAACCTTGGCTGATCTAGAGCATGCTAAGGACAAGATCATGATGGGAAGTGAGCGCAAATCGGCTTTTATATCCCAAGAGACGAGAAAACTCACAGCCTACCACGAAGGTGGCCATGCACTTGTAGCGATGCATACAGACGGAGCTCTTCCGGTGCACAAAGCTACTATTGTTCCACGAGGCATGGCTCTTGGTATGGTTGCTCAATTGCCTGAGAAGGACGAGACTACCATGTCTCGTAAGCAGATGCTTGCTCGGCTTGATGTTACTATGGGTGGGCGGGTTGCTGAAGAGCTCATTTTCGGGGAAAGTGAAGTTACATCTGGTCCATCTGATGATCTCAAGCAAGCAACGAAGCTAGCCCGAGCCATGGTCACCAAGTTTGGTATGAGCAAAGAAGTGGGGCTCGTTACTCACAACTACGATGATAATGGGAGGAGCATGAGCACTGAGACTAGGCTTCTTATCGAGAAGGAAGTAAAAGAACTACTCGAAAGGGCTTACAACAACGCGAAAACGATTCTCACTACCCACAGTAAAGAGCTTCATGCGCTTGCTAATGCATTGCTTGAGCAGGAGACATTAACTGGAGGCCAGATCAAGGCTTTGATTGCCCAGGTCAGTTCTCAACAAACACAGCAAACACAACAACAATTAGTTAGAGTTGAAAGTACATCACAGTCCAATTCAAGACCTCCCCCGAGTCCAAGTGCAGCTGCAGCTGCTGCGGCTGCTGCTGCAGCCGCTGCCAAAACCAAAGGCATTGCTCCAGTAGGACCTTAGTTCAGAAAACATTGGTAAAACTATTTATCAACTCAATGTCCATATAGTTCATTATTTTCATGCAAGACTTCCAACCCTTTGGGAATCATTGTCGAGCTGCTGTTAGCGAGGGGAATCTTTGTATAGGTGAGTTTAAGGTCAAAGGTTTTTTAACAGTTTAACGGCAGGTGCTCATGTATTTTCAAGTGCATCGCCCAATTTCAAGTCCTCATATCACATAGCTGGCATTGTCTTTCTTGTTAGATTTTAGCTGTTTTCTTCTTTTTCTTGCCCATTTTCTTCGAATATTTCGTCCCACGGGGATATTGTAAATTTCATAGTGCAAGAACCTGGTTGTTTTCCATGTCTGCACTTCACTACATTACCCTTCCTATTTAAATGAAAGTAGTATATCAGTTTAGTTACTAGTATTTCCATCTTGCAGTTTGACAGTGCATCACTATTTTTTTGCTTTGGTGAAAACTCACAATTTACTTATAGTATGTGACTATTCCATTTTGTGTTTCTACTTTCTTTCTATACGAAGACAATTGTGAAGAAGTATAGAACACTTTGGTCGGCTGTTGAGCAATCAAATTTTATGTTAGGTGGTGACGGTAAGAAATGAATCCATTTCTGATTGCTATATCGTCGCATTAAAAGCCCCTTCATTATTTTATTCACTTTTTTGTTAAAAAAACTCCAAAGGATTTTTCATTTCACTTTATTTTCAATAACAAATTGTGCCCTTTCCTTATATAGTTAAACCTCTTTTTAACAGCTGCATTTGTTATGATATGTTTTGGATGCTACAGTGAAGTAAAGTGTTGTTATAGATGACATATATTATAACACAACACAACAGATCGGTTCGAAAAAAATTTGACTTTTATAGTGAATGACTATTATAGATGGATGATGTTATAAAGATGTTTCGCTGTATTTATTTTTATAGGATGTCACATCATTGAGCCATGTTAGTTAAACTTCTATTTTGAGAGAAGAATCTTAGTCCTATCAAATAGGTCATTGCCAGTGAGTCACTGGGGACCCTTTTGGCACATCATTCACACCTTTTAGCTAAAACAAAATGGCTCCTCATAAAGAAACAGCAAGACAACAGTTGTGCAAAGAGCTGAGAATAACTTGATATTGTGACCCTTGTTTTTCTTCGTTACAATAGAGTCGAACCCGAAGGGAGCCTTGGAGCAACGGTAAAGTTGTCTCCGTGTGACGTATATGTCACATATTCGAGCCGTGGAAGCAACTATTAATACTTGAATTAGGGTACACTGTCTATCACACCCCTTGGGGTGAGACCTTTCCCCGGACTCTGTGTGAACGTGGGATGCCTTGTACAACGGACTACCCTACACTAGAGTCGAATTCAAGATTTATAGTCAGTCGTACGTTATATCACTACAACTCGTTGTTCCTATGTAATAATGGGTATCGACTTAAAGTGAGTATATATTATTAAGATTTCCAACTATACACATCTAGCCAACGACCACCTAAGCTTTCGTTTAGTGGTAAGTGAGCAACGCGTTATGTGAGGATTAGGCGCACATCAGAATTTTGAATCCTGCCACAAACAAAAATCTAATATTTAAGTGGAGAAAGATATAGAGACGGATATATTTTATGTAAAATTACTAACTGTGTGCCATCGACCCTCGGGAATTTTGGAAGTTGTATGTGGAGTTGTATATGTCAAAACATTTGTTCCTATAGAAAGGCCCCTGTATTTCCTCAAAGTCTCTATCATGGGCCCTAACTGCAACTGGCATTGCAAAACAGGTCCTTTGTACATGTCTTTCTAGCCTTGATTATCCAGACTGGCTGAAAATGAAATCATGATAATGAAGCCATCATATGTAGAATGTATGCATTAATTCTCTTTGTATGGCTCAAATGCTTTTCATATTTGGTTGCTCACTCGATATTCGGTATCCGTGTTGGAGCTCGACTAATTCAGATTCACACCAAAAAATCTCACTTTGGGAGGTAAAACGCTTCTTACCAAAGATGACTTCGTTCCCTGGCTCGAACCTGATCTCTGATTAAGGATTGGAGGAGTACTTATAACTCCACCGTAACGTTTGATAGTTTCCCCTTTTTTTTCCTGGCCACTCGAAATACTATGCTAAATAAAAAAGAAACTAAAATTGAGAAAAGAACTACCACGTGATATTCTCTAGCCATGTCACTTAGGTGATGTGTCGATTTTTTTTTATTTTTAAGAGTTAAATAAAATTGTTTTGATAAATATGTATTATTGTTATTAGAATTAATTTATTTGTATATCATGCAGCTCTAAATTTAAAAAAGAAACTAAATTGACATTTAAGTATTGCTTCAAAAGTTAGTTAAATTTGAGCAAAAGAAAATAAAAATGATACTGAAATCCGAAGGAGGTGTTTCAAGAGTGTGTGTTTATTTCTTTTAGGGTAAAGTTTCCAATGGTTCTCTAAAGTAAAACATCAAATATCTTTTCTTGAAACTTTGTAGTTAAATATTTTATGGCCTTAAGTATGTGCGTGTCTCGACTATTATTTTGCTGTAATTGTATCCACTGAGTTACATATACGTCGACACATAGACACACAAATATAATATGTGCGTGTGAAAAGTTTAAAAATAATATTATATTATGCACTATATATTTATAAATTTTGAATCCGCTTCTGATCTGGCAGAATGATACTATTCATACATAAACTGCAAGAAGCTGTCAAGCTCTACTACAACTGTTAAATGTGGTACCAAATTCTATCTCTGGCTCAACCATATCCCAACAAAAAAATATTTGCTTCAAACATTTTGGACTAAATTAGAAAGTGGACTCTGCATTTCATTGATTACTTCAAAGATGATAAAATGGAATTTTTCTCAAAATGGTTTAAATATTTGGTGTCCGAAATCCACTGGTCCAACTAGAACGGATTTGCGCTGTAAAAAATTAACTATGAGGGCTTTAGCGCTCTATGCCAAAGGAAATTTCAGTTAAGGGTAAAGAAACCTTAACCATTATACCCAGGGACGGATTTGCCTTAGCTAAGCGGTGTCACGTGATATCGCTTCGCTGAAATCTTTTACTAAATACACATATAAATGATATGCAAAAATTAACAAATCCTTATACATAATATAGAATGACACCACTTGGTAAATCTTCGTTGCTTGTTCCGTTGGTTAAGGCGCTACAATTCTCAAGTTTGGTTCTGGAGTTCGAGTCCAAACCAACACAATTTTGGTTTTTTAAGTTTTACAGTCACTTAACAACTTTTAAAATGACTGATATGATCTAAATTATTTTTTTTTCGCAATATCGTTTCAAAATTATTTGTTTATTCTTTTAAATGTGACATGACTTATAAAAATATCGTACGTACGCCAGTCCTTAGCGATAGAAACAATAATACTAGCTCAATAGTGTTGCTATCAAAAGTTTTTGAGCATTTATTTTGGCGCCTTTTATTTAGTTGGATAACCAATTCTGTTTTTGTCAAGTGTTGTACATTCTTATATCATTTCTCTCATTTTGAGTTGGATCTTTGAGATTCTTAAACAGTGAGAATAACTTCCTTTTAGTCCAATAATAATGACAGAAGAAAACAATTATGTGACCCTATTAATTTTTTTTATTTCATTCTCTTTCACTAATAGAATTGTAAAAAATGGACAATACATGCAAGAAAACCAAAAAAAAAAAGAAAAAAAAAAATTAAAGAACAATATAGTAATTGTGCCAAATGACACAAAAAACAATTATGAGAACAATTTTTTAGGAAAAAAAAATTGAAAACAAAAAATCATCATGGCTAATTGACTGCCAAGAAGAAAATCAATAGAGCTCATCAACATAAGGAGAAGAATTAGAAGTAAAGAACCGAGAAATCTCCGAGAGTTAGTAACGCAAGGTCTGAAACTTGGTGAATAATGAGTCAACCTCTCTATCTGTTCTCCGTTTTCCTAATTTCTTCAATCATTTTCTCCACCACAATCATCTTTGGCCTATCTTTTGGAGATGAAACCAAACAAGCCATAGCAACTTTTAGAAGTGCAACCATTTCATCTTCCATTTCTTTATACCTTGCAAGTTCAAAATCAAACACATCCCAAGTCCATTCTTTATTCACAACTCTTTGTACCCATTTTGTCAAACTTGTTTCTCCTTCACTTGTTGCAATTTTACCTGTCAAAATCTCTAGTAAAACAACTCCAAAGCTATAAACATCACATTTTTGAGAAAGTTTTCTTGGATTTTGGTTTGTGTTCATGTTGTTTTGAGTTGATAATTCTGGTGCTTTGTATCCATTATTTGATGAAATTGGCATTTGTAAGAGCAAATGGAGACATATATCAGAAATACAAGCATTGCCAAAATGATCAATTAGTATGTTTGATGATGTGAAATTTCCATGGTAAATCTTGGTTTTGTTGTAACTATGCAAAGAAGCAAGTCCTTTTGCTGCTCCTAATGCATATTTTAATCTTGTTGACCAATCCAATGGTGTTCTTCCTGGTCCACGATTTCCTGTACGTTTAAGTTTTATGCACGGACAACGTAAATAAAATATTTACACTATAATAAATGTAACAAACTATAGTAAGTGTAGACAAGTTATCTGGAAAATAAGACATACAACATGTTATAAAAGCTTAAATCTTATTATTTGCACTAACAATATATATTAGTTAAATTTTAAATCAACTAATCAATTACGTCTCAATCCCATAATAATCAGGATTAATTATATGAATTCTTTATATCCATTCCATTTTATTTAGTAATTTTATCCTAATATTAAACACTACAATGTGTTAAGACAAGATAGGGAATTTCTAGAACTAAGGTTTTCTCTAAATTTCACACTTTAACTCATACAAGTTTCTAACAAAATAAAAACACTTCTTGTAAATACTAGATCTAATATAAGTGTAACAACTACAAAAATAACTAACTCTCAACTCCAACTAGTTTGTATCCTATGTGTCTTTTGTTTCCTCATATTATATTCTTTAACCACTGAAGGAGAGCCCCGGAGAAATGATAAAGTTATCTCCGTGTGACCTATAAATCACAGGTTCAAGTCGTGGAATCAACTATTGATGCTTGCATCAGGGTAGGCTGCTTATATCACACCCCCTTGGGGTATGACCCTTCCCTCGATCTTGCGTAAACGCGTAATACTTCGTGCATCGGACTATCCTTTTTTATATTCTTAACTAAATCTACATTGATTATGTGAAATTGCAATAATTTAAACTTTGGAATAAAAAGAAAAGATGAAAGAAATTACCATGTAAGAGGTTATGAAGACTTCCATTGGGTAGAAAATCATAGACAAGAAGCAACTCCTCTTTAGAAGAATAATAAGCTCTAAGTGACACAACATTTTGATGTCTCAAACCACCAATCAATCTC